ATACCTTGATAAAGACAACTACATCAAAGTAATTGGTATGATCGAAAAATATCTGGAAAAATGGTCAACATTGTAATGACCATTTATGGGGAGGATTGCAGCTATGAATTTGAACGTATTACACAAAATGATATTTCTTTTTTAGACAATACCAGTTATTACAAAATAAGTAGTATTTCAAGTATTTACAAAGCACTTCAAGATGCAAAACGAAAAGCACATGTATGAGTGTTCTGTGTGAACCAAACTGTTGTATGTACGATTGAGACTAAGCCACGTTACAGTATTTTATTTACTTGACCATTTTATTTACCCTGTTTGTTATTTAAATAAACCTTATTCCTTTGTTTGTTAAAAATCCATTCCTGGTCTGTGTGACTTCTTATAGGGAATGGTTGGTGGCAGCTTAGTGAAACTGTGGCATATCCCAGTAGGTCTGGGTTTGTCACACAAGGCTATAGTATATCACAGAAGTGAGTACTCCCTCACATTTCATAAATATTTTAGTATATCTTTTTAATGTGACAACACTGAAGAAATGACACTTGGCTACAATGTAACGCAGTGAGCAGTAGGCATCCTTCAGTTTCGGCAGACTAAGGGTAACGTGTTCTGAATAGAGGACTTGGAACAGTGTCTAGTGTGGCTCAGGAGGCCAATTCGAGAGTGACAATCCCTTCCACACGGAAGACAAATACAATCTGTCCCATGTCCAGCTCCCTGATTTTGCTGCTTTTGGGACTGTCTCTTTGCCTTGGCCTGCTGGACAAGGGTCTCTTCAAAATGGGAGAGGCAGTGATGCAATGCCTGCCTCCAGGCTGAACACTCAGATATCAAGATTTCCTATCTATTGAGATCAATTCCTAAAGCCTTCAAATCCCACTTGCATATATCCTTTTATCACAGCTGTGGTCTCCCTCTAGGGTGATTTCCCTACAATAATTTTCCATACAGGAGATCTTTTGGAATCCGACCTTCAACTATTCTCATGACAAGCTCGAGCCAATGCAGGCATCACTGTTTCAGTAATGTATACATGCTAAAAATTCCAGCTCTTTCTATGACTACTCTATTTGTAACTTTATCCTGCCAGGTGATACCAAAAATGCGTTGGAGACAACGCATGGGGAACGAGATTAGCTTCTTTTCCTGCTGTGCACAAAGGGTCCAGGACTCATTGTAGTACAGGAATGAACTCAGGAAACAGGCTCTATAGACCTGGAGCTTGGTATATGCCATCAGCTTCTTACTAAGCCATACACTTTTTGTGAGTATAAAGAACATAGTAGCTGCTTTGCCAATGCGTTTATCCAGCTCAACATCTAGGGAAAGTGTCAGAGATCATTGAGCTAAGGTACACAAAGTCATGAACAACCTCCAGTTCTTGTGTAGAGATGGTAATAGGGGGAGGTGAGTCCATGCCCTGGCGCATGACTTGAATGTTCTTCAGGCTGATTCTTAATCCAAAGTCTTGGCAGCCCTTGCTGAAAGGTTTCATGAGTTGTTGGAGGTCTTTAGCAGATTAGGCAACAACAGCTCCATCATCGGCAAAGAGGAAGTCTCGCATGCATTTCAGTTGGACTTTGGTCTTTGCTCTTAATTTAGAGCAGGGGTCGCAAACATGTGGCCCGGGGGCCATTTGCGGCCCCTTCACCTTGCCTGCCCCCCAAGCGCCCACCCATCCTCTGCTGTCAAGAGTAAGCCTTGCCTCGCTCGCCGTCTCTCCCCCAAGACAGCACCTCTTGCACCCTCCATCCAGAACTGCAGCCTCCCAGCCAGCCCACCTGTCTGTCAGCTAAGGAAACTGCTGGGCGGCTTCCCCTGGCTCTTGCTCCGCTTGGCGGAAAATCGGATGCGGGCCAGCCTCACCCAGACTCTGCCTCTAGCGGCCCCCGGGTAATTTGAGTTTAAAACCCCTGATCTAGAGAGATTAAAGAGCTTTCCATCTGATGTAGTCCAGAGGTAGGCACTTTCTGTTGCAGTTCCAAAAGCATGCTTCAGAATGACAGCAGAAAAGATCCCAAGCATAGTTGGCACAAGGAAACGAGTTGCTGACACAAAGACGATAGTAAAAGCAAAACTCTAGCAAGCTTTGGCCATTTTCTTTCATCTTCCCAAAATGGCCTAGACAAGTGGGCCAAGAATTGTGAACAATATCAATTCTAGTGTTAAAGTCTCCGAGAATAAGCAGCAGCTCTATCTTGGGGATTTTTTAGTACAAGCTGCCAGGTCATCATAGAATTAGTCTTTGATTTCTGTTGTAGGTGACAGTGTTGGTGCATAGGCACTAATGAGGATGACAGGTCCTGCTGATGAGTGGAGCTTCAGAGACAGGATTCTTTCACTCCCCACGGCAGGTGGAACAATGGATCTCAGCAAAGTATTTCTGACCACAAAGCCAACATCATATTCCCCGGTCTCATTCAATGTATTTCACTGCCAGAAGAATGAGAACTTTTTTTCTTGGGACAGATCCCGTGTATGGCAATCTCATCCCTTGCAGGGCAACAATGCCCATCTGCAGCCTACTCAGTTCCATGTTGATGACAGCTGTCTTGCATGCGTCGTCTATTTCCTGAAGGTCATCAGATAAGCCAGGGGACATTGTCCAAACATTCCAGGTGCTCAAATTTAGTGCAGAGGTTTTTTTACGATTGTTGCATGTGCAGGGTTATCGATCTGTTTGACAGCTTTCACCCTAAACCCTATGCACCCCGGGAATATAACAGACTGTAGTGAGGCAGCATCTTACTGGCTGGGGGCTGCCCAGCTTAAGGAAGGTGATAACTACTTTGGAGGTGCCATGCCATCTCTCACCATCAGAAGTAGCCCCTGGTGTCATGCTCTATGCCAATCGAGCAAAGACTTATAACCGGTAAGTGCTACTTCCCAAGTTCTTTCAATGCTGTATGCAAAGCTGGAGTGTCCTCTCCAGAGTACGAAGCCTGGGTAAAAATATGGAGGATAGGTTGTTACCCAAGCAGAAAATTGGCCCCCTCCATATCACTGAAATAGTCTAATGGAAAGACAAGAGCCAATACAACTGGTTTCAGCGACGTTGCAGGGGTTGCCAAAACGTCATGAATTGCCAAGATTCTGGCTCTGGATTCTGCCTCAAGACAAAAAGGAGTCAGTGTACAGCTTGTATAACAGTGTAAATGTGCTCTCTCTCTCAAAAAAGCAACACACAATAATTAATGTCTAAACTACTGGCAACAAAAGTGAGTACACTCCTAAGTGACAATGTCTAAATTGGGTCCATGTAGCCGTTTTCCCTCCCTGGGATAATGAGACATGTTAGTGTCACAAGTCTCACGTGTGAAGGGGGAGAAGATGTTATCGCTCTCACTCTCTCAGACTCATCACTGGAACTTCCACATGGCAACTCATGGTAATGAACTATCTCAGGATCTGTCTGCTGTACACAGGCAATCTGTCATGGGGAGAGCAACTCCTCTCACCAAGGATGTGCTTTCCCAGCGGCATGGCAGCTCCAGACTGGCTCCTTGGGCAGAGGCCGCAGGTCCCGGGTGAGCACAGAGTCGGGTAGGGGGAGTCAGCCATGGACGGTGAGAGCAGAGGGGCTGTGCTGGGAGGGAGTAGGGTAATGTTGGCATATATAAATTTTTTTGGGGGGGGTAAAAGATAAACAATTTCCCTAACCTCTGAGGTAAGGAGTATAAAGACAAGTGTGTCATGCCTACAGTTAAGCATGGTGGTGGGAGTGTCATGATCTGGGCCTTATTCCAACATGATAACACACCTGCAAAACGACCACTGCCTTGCTAAAGAAGCTGAGGGTAAAGGTGATGGACTGGCCAAGCATGTCTCCAGACCTAAACCCTATTGAGCATCTGAGGGCATCCTGAAATGGAAGGTGGAGGTGTGCAAGATCTCTAACATTCACCAGTTTTGTGATGTCATCATGGAAGAGGACTCCAGTGGCAACCTGTGAAGCTCTAGTGAGCTCTATGCCCAAGGGAGTTAAGGCAGTACACATATACTGTACATTTCTTTTAAATTGGACAAAGGAAGACGAACAGGTCCAAGAAAAGGTGGTTCAATGGGCAAAAAAAATTGGATATAATATTGACTTTGAAAAATGGCAAAAACTGTGGTCTAAAAAGTATTAAATGACAATGGCAACATCTCATAAAGAGAAATTATATGAAATGTTTTATAGATGGCATTTACCACCCGATAGATTAGCTAAAATTTACTCTAAGAGCTCAAGTTAATGCCAGAAATGTCATGAAAAAACTAGAACTTATTACTACCCTTGGTGGAACTGTGATAAAGCAAAAACTCTTTGGAAAAATACATACATCATGGTGCCCCACATGATGACGATAATCTGTTCTGTCAAAATCATTGTACAGCGAAATGGTTGTCATACCAAAAAAAACCCTATTGGAATGCATTGAAAACTGGTTAATGCGTTCCAGTGGGGAAATAGCTCAGCGTCCAGCAAAGATCGCCCATAGAGAACTGCCAATCAGCTGTTTAAAATCGGTGTTTTGCGAAGCTTCTGCCCGAAAAACAGCCATTTTTTGAAGGGAAGCCATTTTGCGGAGCCAGAAAAATCGTTTTGCAAACGGTTCGTGAAGCAGGGACCTAATTGACGTATAGCTAAAAAAACCATAGGAACCATCATTTTGCGATAGCTATAGCAATCGCAAAAAAATTGTCATCATGCGGGGCACCATTATATATTGATTGATAAAATAATCAAACACCATATAGATTTTAAGCCAGAACTTTTTCTATTAGTATAATACCAGAAAGTGTTGATAAATAAAATGAATATTTAATACTGCATATTTTCACAGCTGCAAGGATTATATTCCCACAGCACTAGAAAATGAGGAAAACCCCACGGATCAAGAAATAATTAAAAAGATATTGGATTGCGCCGAAATGGATAGACAGACAATGAGAATCAAAGGAAAGGAAAATGCAGAATACTATCAAACATGGAACTTGTTTTATCAATGGTTAGAAGCATGATGTATAGATTAAGAGCTTAATATATATTGTAGCTGTATTAACAAATGATTATAAGCTGAACCCAGGTGATACAATGTTAAATAAACATGGATGAAGACACCTTATTTACTTCTTCTCCTCTGTATGGGTTCTTTGATGTGACTTAAGGTTATCACTCTTACTGAAGCTCTTTCCACATTCTATGCATTTCTACAGTTTCTCCCCTATGTGAGTTCTTTGATGCAAACGAAGTTTACCGCTGTTACTGAAGCTCTTTCCGCATTCCATGCATGTATATGGCTTCTCCCCTGTATGGGTTCTTTGATGCAACCTACAGTTATAATTCTGACTGAAGCTCTTTCCACATTCTACGCATTTATATGGTTTCTCGCCTGTATGAGTTCTTTGATGTGACCTAAAGTTACCACTTCTAATAAAGCTCTCTCCACATTCCAGGCATTTATATGGTTTCTCCCCTGTATGGGTTCTTTGATGCAACCTACAGTTATAATTCTGACTGAAGCTCTTTCCACATTCTACGCATTTATATGGTTTCTCGCCTGTATGAGTTCTTTGATGTGACCTAAAGTTACCACTTCTAATAAAGCTCTCTCCACATTCCAGGCATTTATATGGTTTCTCCCCTGTATGGGTTCTTTGATGTGACCTAAGGTCACCACTCCAACTGAAGCTCTTTCCACATTCCATGCATTTATATGATTTCTCCCCTGTATGGGTTCTTTCATGTGACCGAAGGGTATCACTCCGAATAAAGCTCTTTCCACATTCTACGCATTTATATGGTCTCTCCTCTGTGTGAGTTCTTTCATGCAAACTAAGAGTATCACTCCGACTGAAGCTCTTCCCACATTCCATGCATTGATATGGTTTCTCCCCTGTATGGATTCTTTGATGTAACCTAAGGTCACCACTTTGACAGAAGCTCTTCCCACATTCCATGCATTGATATGGTTTCTCCCCTGTATGGGTTCTTTGATGTGTCCTAAGGTCAGCACTCCGACTGAAGCTCTTTCCACATTCCATGCATTCATATGGTTTCTCTCCTGTATGAGTTCTTTGATGCAAAATAAGGTGACTATTCTGACTGAAGTTCTTTCCACATTCCATGCATTGATACGGTTTCTCCCTTGTATGGGTTCTTTGATGTGAACTCAGACTACTGCTTTGGCTGAAGCTCTTTCCACATTGCTTGCATTTATACTGCTTTACCCCTCTGAGGGGGTGTTCACCTGAAAAAGTATTGTTCATATTCAGGGTCTTTCCATGCTCCATTCATTGATTTAGCTTTTCCCTTGGGTCACTTTAGCCATGTCTATTTATATCATTTGCATGATTTTCTGTCCGTAATGCACCTTCTCCTTTTTCCTTAATGTTTTTCCCTTCTTTCATGTGACCTAAGGTTAGCACTCTGACTGAAGCTCTTTCCACATTCTATGCATTTATATGGTTTCTCTCCTGTGTGAGTTCTTTGATGCAAACTAAGTTTACCACTCTTACTGAAGTTCTTTCCACATTCCATGCATTGATACGGTTTCTCCCTTGTATGGGTTCTTTGATGTGAACTCAGACTACTGCTTTGGCTGAAGCTCTTTCCACATTGCTTGCATTTATACTGCTTTACCCCTCTGAGGGGGTGTTCACCTGAAAAAGTATTGTTCATATTCAGGGTCTTTCCATGCTCCATTCATTGATTTAGCTTTTCCCTTGGGTCACTTTAGCCATGTCTATTTATATCATTTGCATGATTTTCTGTCCGTAATGCACCTTCTCCTTTTTCCTTAATGTTTTTCCCAATCATAAGGAGTTCATAAAAATGAGCACTCTGTGAAATTGGAGATGAGCTCTTCCCCGTCATTGGTTGGCCTCCATTCTATCTTTCTGCCTCTTTTTGGGTGTCTTAACTGTTTTCTTTTCCTGATTCACATTTGGTTCTGGTCACTGTCCAAATAGCTGAATATAGAAAGTTCTGCTTCTTTTGGCTTGTTATCTGATTTTAAAAAAAGAGGAATATAGCACAGAACCTATTAAATGCATACAGTAACCTACAACCCCCTGTTTGCACAGAAAGGCTTTTTAATGAGTAAAGAAAACACATGAAGAACAGAGTTTTCAAATTATAATTCTACCCTAATGTTTAATGGGATGGTTGTACTTGCATCTTGGCAATAAAATTAATGCAGAAAACCTTCAAATTATAATTCTACCCTAATATTTAATGGGATGGTTGTACCTGCATCTTGGCAATAAAATTAGTGCAGAAAACCTGTGGGTGAGATTTCACATAAAAATAATTGTAACTAAAAATACCCAGAGTGACTTTTCAAATGAAAATCTCTTTAGGTGTCACTCCACCCCCAGGTTGGGAACCCGTGATCTAAAATATTCCCACCATCTACCAGGAAGATTACCTAAAAGAAAAATAGGATTATTCTTGCAGAACTTTCCATACACGTTTATTTATTTATTTCTTTTATTAGATTTATACCCCGCGCATCTAGACAGATAATCTACTCTGGGCGGCATAATAATGTTTTAAAACAATAAAACCAATAATATACGAAAATCCAAGTTGTAAAAATACAGATATTAAAATAAAGAAGGAGGAAAACCATGCCTAAATAGCCATGTCTTTAGTTTACTATGGCTATAAAGACACCCAGAGAGGGAGCCAGGCGGATCTCTAGGGGCAAGTTGTTCCAGAGGCGAGGAGCCACTGCTGAGAAGGCCCGGTTCCTCGTTCTTTCCTTTTATGCCTTCCTCGGCGTTATGCCCCTCAATCGCCGGCCAGAGGCGAGGAGCCACTGCTGAGAAGGCCCGGTTCCTCGTTCTTTCCTTTTATGCCTCCCTTGGCGTTATGCCCCTCAATCGCCGGACTGGCTAGAACGAGTGTCTCTGGTAGAACATTGAGTCACTGTTTTTTTCCCTATCTTTTTTGCTAGATAACGAATAACATTTTTGTTACTTTTAGCTGAGCTGATTACTGGCTAGAACGAGTGTCTCTGGTAGAATACTGAGTCGCTGTTTTTTTCCCTATCTTTTGCTACATAATGAATAACCTTTTTGTTACTTTTACCTAAGCTGATTATCACCTTTTGCCTTCCTAATGCCATTCTTGAAATTCTTGGCTAATCATCTCTCCTTTGTATCCTTAGTGGCATTGACCTTCCTTCTGCTTCCTCTCTTACTTTTATTTTCACTTCTTGTCTGAGATTTTTGTGAGACCATATTGTCCTAAGCGAGAAAAGAAAATGGGACCATAGTCTACAACTTGCCATTTTCATGCTGGTATTGCTCTATGGATGTGCAGAATTGAAACCGAAATACGGAGGGAAGATCCACGGGCTGTCTAGGTATGCTGTCTCCTTATAGGACAGACGAAAGATTTGACAGAATGATTGCTGTATCTCATACAACCCACAGATGAATATTTCTTACTTTCCATCCATGTGGAAATGAAGGAAACAGCCAAGAGGAGCTATGAAGAGATCACATCAGACTTTGAAGCTCTGAGAAGAATACTCAAGGACTTTGAGTCCCAGAGAGTCTTCTCATCCCACCTACAAGAACTCAGAAGAGGAAGAGGAAGGGAAAGGAAAATATTCTGGGTGAACAACTGGCTACAGTTATTGAGAGATTTGGATTCTTCTAGCCTAAGAGGAAAATAAATTAATTTAAGTGTATCCATTAAATGCCTAAGTAATAAAAGTTAGTTGCACTTTTCATGGAAGTGTTGTGACAGTTTCTTCATGAGCCATCATACTCTGGGGAAACAGGATGGAAAGAACACTTACACACACACAGAGAGAGAGAAATGACAGAGAGGAAAGAGGCCTAGAGAAAAAGGCAATGAAAGATACAAGGAGAGAGAGATCTGAGGCAGGGAGGTGAGCGTAATCTCACAACATGGAGTGTGGACCCTGGGAGACTCTGGTTTCAACAACCGCAACCCCTTTTGACATACATATTTGCCTCAGGGCAGGAAGCATGGGGGGCTGGGAATCAAAGGAGTCATTCACATTAAAAGGTGAGAGACAGAGGAATGGACAAAGAATCCCAGCCTGTTAAGGGACCAGCAGGGATAATGGGAATCTCTCCTCAATGCCTGTTAATGGTTTGCCTGTTAACACCCAGTTGAGATGTTCAGCCAGAAACGGTGTTTGAAGGATTTGCAGACCCAGAGGTGATTGTTGAAAATCATGATGGAGCTAAGAATAAAACAGTTGAGTCAAAAAAGAGGAAAAAGTGTCTTCTTCTGGTATGGGGGGGGTAAAGTTTATATTGGGGGTGCCTTAAAATCAGGCACGGAGTTGTACTGCCTCACCAGCTTGACATTGCTATAGGAAACAAAAGCTTTCCCACCTGTGACCTCTAAATGAAACTTTTTGAAATGTCGAAGTTTGCAGTTCTGCCTGCCCAGAAAGTCACTCCCTTTTTTCCTTTCTGAGACAGGTGAGAAGGATCTTGCGAATAGTCACAAAAATATGGTTTTATGCATGACAGGCACAGCTCCGAGGTTCCCCATTTCTTCACAATCTCTTTGGTGCTAGAGCTTGGGGAATGGGGTCAGAGGCACCTTGACTCTCTCTCGCCCTTCCCTCCTCAGCGAATTTAAGAGCAAGCCAAGGAAAGGAGCATTTTTCCTCCTGGGGAGTATTCCTGCAGGCAGGCCAGGAGAGCCAAGGCACAGAACACAAAGAAGTCAGGGAGAAGCTGAGCTGCCAAACAAGTCTGACCAGAAAGAAGTAAAGTAGAGACACAAAACAGAAATGGTTCATTTTCTCATTTTTATAGGAACAAATGAAAATTCTGGAGTACTTTTAATGCTATTGTGCTATCTCTACATACACAACATCCAAGCGCGGGTGCACAGAATATATTTTTGATTCATACGCAGTGTCTAAACATCGCAGCCAAAGTCTGCTCATGGTCAACTTAATCTACAGGGTTTAAGTTCGTTTTCTGCTGACTATATATGCTCAAAGGCCTTTTTAAAATACTTCCCAAGATTGGATTGTCTGCCTTGACCATTTAACATCATCAGGTCTTTTCATGAGAAAATGAAGGGCACTGTAGTTTTTGATGACTCCACATCAGATCCCTTTGACATCTGAAGCGGAGTGAAACAGGGCTGTGTTCTCACGCCAACCCTGTTTAGATATTTTGCTGTCATGCTGAAGCACACCTTTGGAACTGCAACAGAATGTGGTTATCGCTGGACTAGATCAGATGGAAAGCTCTTTAATCTCTCTAGATTGAGATCAAAGTCCAACTGAAATGCACGCGGGACTTCCTCTTCGCCAATGATGCAGCCATTGTTGCCCACTCTGCTGAAGACCTCCAACAACTCATGAATCGTTTTAGCAAGGCCTACCAAGACTTTGGACTAACAATCATCCTGGAGAAAATTCAAGTCATGGGCCAGGGCGTGGACTCACCTCCCTCTATTACCATCTTCACGCAAGAACTGGAGGCTGTTCATGACTTAGTGTATCTTGGCTCAACGATCTCTGACACTCTCTCCCTAGATGTCTAGCTGGATAAACGCACTGGCAAAGCAGCTAGCATGTTCTCTACACTCACAAAGAGAGTATGGCTTAATAAGAAGCTGACAGCAGATACCTGTGTTCTGAGCACACTCCTGTACTGCAGTGAGTACTGGACCCTCTGTGCACGGCAGGAGAGGAAGCTGAACACCTTCCATATGCGTTGTCCCCGACGCATTTTTGGTATCACCTGGCAGGATAAAGTTCCAAATAGAGTAGTCGGAGATGTCACTTCCACTTGGAGGAATGACCAGCTAAGAGCTCAACCTCCGTATCACCAGCACGGTAAAAAGCTTTTAAAATGCATTTCTTCTTCTAGACAACTGGTTGTTTTTGAATAAATCTTTGAAGGGAAAGATAAGGAATGTGTACATTTAATTAAACTCTCTAAGGACTGTGTTGATTTAAAACTGAAAACTACTTTCATGTTTGGGTCAGATAAGCTACTGGCATTTTCGTACTGCCCTGCTCCTAATGAAAAGCTTGTAACAATAATAATTATTCTTAATTAGACTTCTCTATATCAAGGAGGATAGATAAATCTGCTAAAAATCCCACTTGGATAAGAGAAAAAACCCCAGTACCCTCAGATCGCAGTTTGGAAAGACTGACGAGAGCATCAATCGAAAAATATAATCAGGAAGCAAAGGAAGAGCTCACGAAAGCTGTAAAAGACACGTTCTGTAAAATGTCTGAAGCCTTTGATTAATCAGAGAGACAAGCCAGGTCCAGTGAAATGAGCAATAATAAGCTCCAAGATCAAATTTCAGGGGTCTCACAGGAGCTGGAAGATGTCAAAAGCACAATTAAAGAGTTTGGAATCAGGGTTGAATCAGATTAAAAAAATCCAGCTTGGACGAAAAAATCAATGAAACCAATAAAAGGCTGATCTACATGGAGGATAACCTCAGAAGGTCTAATATTAAAATAATGAA